ATAATAATTTTATTTTAACCCCTGTTTGAGCCTTATTTTTGTAAGAGAATGTGTTTTGAATTAGTGATTTTTTTTAAGAATGTGTAGTTAAAAAATAAGAAAATGTTTTCAATTTACGTGTAGAATTATTTTATAAAAGAATGTGTGGTTGAAAATGAGTTTTGAAAAAATGGGGACCAAATATAGGTTTAATAATAATAAAAAAAAATTGTAGTAGTTATGTATTGTTCCCTTTATATGTTGGTAATGATAAAATGAATGCATGCTCTTATCTAAAATTAAATTATGAGAACTTTGATCTCCTTTTGAATCTTGGGCAAGGTGGCTATATCTTTAAAGATGAGAAATGAGTACTAATAAAGGTCAAAGGCTCTCTTACGGTAAAATAGGATATACTGTCTATTCGAAAATGCTATCATTTGCAAAATATGTCAAGGCACCAGTAGAGATATTGTAATGACAAGGGTTTGAATCATGGAGACGCAATAGAAATTCGCGAAGGTAAGATTGTTCAGGATCTCCTATGGTGATACAGTCCAATTAGTACTAGGATTCAACGTATGCCTCTCTTAAGAGGAAGTCGTATATTCAAATTTTGGGGACGCAATAGAAATTCGTGAGGAATAAGATGGGCTTAAACTCTCCCAGATTGGACAGTTCGTAAGTTAACTACTTGAGTATAAATGTTGGGTCGTTATAGATGTAAATCAACTCCCTTTAATAAAAAAAATTGGGTTATGTTAGCCAAAGAAGTATTGAGATTTGGTAGAAATAGGGGTTGTTAGGAAACGATAGACTAGAACCACTTGTTTTATGTCAATACTGCATTCTATTAGAAGGCAATCTTTAACAAAATGGGATGGCAAATAGGTTTGACATGACCTATTTGAAATGGTTAGGTGCATGATCTTATCAGTTGGGTTGTCTAGATAGCTTCCTAATCTAGGCACGAGGAGTCACCATAACAATACTTTTGATTAATAGGTGCCATTGAATTGCCTTAAACTTCAAGACTCCAGAAGAAATTTGGACACGAAGGCCTCTCAATCACCAACACTCGAGAACTTATGGGTGTACTACCTATGCTCGGTGAGGCAAAATAAACGAGAGTAAAGATCCTTAAAATATGTTCTTTCTGAGTATTCAGAAGAAGTGAAAGGTTATAGACTATAGTGTTTGGAACTAGGCCAAAACAAATACGTAGTAAGCAGATATGTGGTCTTCAATAAGGATGTTAGCACAAAAGCCACATAACATAACATATCCAAGGGATATCTAAATTCCAATCCAAGGTGGAGAAGGGTGAAAGGCAGAAATCTTATCAAGATGTTGAAGAAAGTTCATACGACATAGAACCTGTAACATAAGAAATTAAAAGAGAGCTCGACGGTGCTGAAGAAGATGATTATGTTCTTACAAGGGATAGGGCTAAAAGAACTATAAAATCACCTAATAGATATGGTTTTCTAGATAACACAATGTATGCCCCTGTAACCCTTGAAGCTCTAAATAATCAATATCCATTGACTTATGAAGCAACATTGAAAGATAAAGATAGTGACAAGTGGATACTGGCAATAATGAAAAGATCAATTTTATGTAAAAGAATAGAATTTTGGAGCTAGTGGATAAACCTAACCCCTGTTTGGTCTTGATTAAAATCTGATTTTATTTCAAGTCAAAGTCAAACAATCAATATTAACCACATCTTTTATGGGTCTTACAATTTTTCAACTACACATTTCAAAAATTTCTATTACAATTTACTAAAAATCTAATTTTAATTCCTACCAAACACCCTCCTAATAATCAAAGATTGGTTTTATGTAAATATGTATCTAAAAAAAGGGTACAATACCATGGGTTGAGGGGCCAAATTTAAATAATCAATATCCATTGACTTATGAAGCAACATTGAAAGATATCACTACAAGTGGTTATTGGCAATAATGAAAAGATGAAATTTATGTAAGAGAATAGAATTTTGGAGCTAGTGGATAAACCTAATAATCAAAGATTGGTGTTATGTAAATATGTCTCTAAAAAAAGGGTCCAATACCATGGGTTGAGGGGCCAAATTTAAAGCTAGATTAGTGACAAAAAAGAGTTAATCTTAAAAAGTTGGAATTGACTACAATGAAGTGTATTTGCTTGTTGAAAAGCATGAATTATAACGATCATGCTAACTATGGAGGCATCACGATATGGAGTTGGAGTACTTGGATATTAAAACGGTTTCTTTATATGGCGACCTTGATGAAACCAACTTAACGGATGAACTAGAAGGTTTTATTAAACTTGAAAATGAAGGTAAAGTGTGCACGATGAAAAAAGCCCTTGTATGCACTTAAGCAATCCCGAAGGTTAAGGAATAAAAACGTCCCCCTTCTTTGTATTCTCGCTTTTTTGATGATATAAACTTGGTTGGGAATCCTCTACCGACCTTCTTTGGTGGAGTCTAAAAATTCACTACAGATGTGTGAATGTCTTCGCAAAAAAAAAAAGGTTTCAGGAGATTTCATGCTTTGAAAGTATTCAAAAGAAGTAACCATGATCCTTGTAAAACTCTTGGCCATTACGTGGAAATAACGAAGATTCTTGCAACATATTTTTCTTAATTCAAGAATTAAAGTGATTAAACTAATATGCTCAATATATATATACATACTAGATAGCATACAAAAGTACTAAAATAACTGTTTGACTCTCTTCCATGATCGAAAAAAATTAAAATTGTAACGTTAAAATCCTTGAATTTTTTCCTTCACATTTTATAACTTAGCCCATGTTTGGTATGGATTAAAATGTTAAATTAAAATCTAAATCAAAGTCAAAAATTATCTTTAACTACATATTCTTCGAGCATTTCGACGATCTGTTGAATCTAATAGAAGGGTAACCTCATATGTTCAGATTTTCATAAGTCGATATCCTTGATGTGTTCAAGCATTACACTCCAAAGTTACACTGAAATCAAGAGTAAGAGGTACTTCTCTCACTAACCTCCGGATTTTCCTTTTCATAGGATCCATAACTTTTCAGAAACACATTTCATTATTATTATTCTTATTAAAATTCATTAAAAATCTGATTTTAACTACAACAAATAGGGGCTTAATCTGTGAAAACTTCAATTGATCGAATAGCCGTTTCGAGGTCTAAAACTCCATCTGGGATATGAAAATTCTCAAATTGAACCAAATATATCATTACATGCAATTTGAGCCTCATAACAATATCATGCTAGAAAAATCAATTCATAATATTTTCTTAAAATTGCAAATTAATTCTTAAAGTTCGCAAATTTGCATCAGTGCTTCTAAACCTCAAATGTTATGTTAGAATCATCCTCAACATGATAAATTAAGTCCATGTTTGAGCCACATTATTTTTCTCGTTCTCATTCTTATATTCATTTTCAACCACACATTTTTCAATAAAATAATAATTTTCATCACATCAATAACTTTTTCTTTTTTTTCAACCATATATTTCTCATCACATCAAACAAAAATGCATTCTTGGACTCAAAATATGCACCAAACAGGGGCAAAGTCTGAAATCATACAATGCAAATTTTTCTAAATTGAAATTTAATCCTTAAATTTTTACAACTATTGCGATTAATCTCAAACTACATTTCGATTCCCTATCGACTCGTATTGCCTCCAATAACTCTCGAGTTCATCACATCTTACACCAAAGTCTCACTTCTCAAAATTCCACTCCAACCATCAAGATTTGAAATAATTTCTTTTTGATCCTTAAGTTCTCAACCTTTGCATTTAAGTCCTAGTGAAAAATTCAAAATATTATGGTAATATTTACATAATTAGCTCAAGATTCTCAAGGAAATCACCTAGCGACTGAGAGAGAAGACAAAAGGAAAGAACCGAATGAATCCCAATTCTTAGAGAACGGGTCTTTAATAATTCCAACAAATATGATCTGATTGACAATTCACATAGTTTATTAGTTAAATTAGCAGGAATGTGTTTTTTTTTTCATTTTTATTAATAAAAATTATAGATTCCCTAAAATACTTGATTAAAATTAATCATTTAGAACCTTTATGCTATCTATAACAAAAACTTAATTACAATAACAAATTATTATTACGAAAAGTGAACGTATGCAAAACTCTTCGTTAAGTTACATAAACACACAATGCATATACTTCGAAAAAACAAGAAAGAAAAATGAAAAAGATCACTTGAAGTATAGACTCCTCCTTCAATTTGAATTTTTTATTTTTATTATTTTTGGAGCTGTTTTCGAGTCAAAACATTTCGGAGGGTCATTTTACAAAATGTTAAAAAAGGAAAAGAAAAGAAAAGAGAGGCCTTTTAGCATTTTCTATCATTCTCAAACAAATCCCTCAAAATCGTTTCCATATATTATTATTATTTTGAGACATCTGGAATTGAAATTGCTCCAACTAACGTCATCCCCTGTCTGGGTTATTCCATTTCTAATCAACATAATTCAATATTTCTATCGAAATTCGGGGTTTTGCAGGAATTATGCCCTAAATTCCTTTCTTCTTTCCTTGTCTTTTCCACCTCAATCACCGAACACTCGGAATTTGCTCTCCGGGGATTGAATTTCCATGTTTTGTGACGGGAATAAGTTTTTTCATAAAAAAATCGAATTTTGATTCGATTTGATCATTCTGCGTCTCCATTCAATAGTACCAGTTGATAATTTCGAGGATTTTGATCATGGCCCTCTTGGCTCAAAACCTCAAAAAATTATTTAATTGAAGGAAGAAAAGGAAATTAAGAAACCCCTTTTAAAGTTTACTTAAATATGGTCCTTTCTCGGTGATTATTTTCCTGGTCTATGTGAAATTCAGTTGGAATAAAAGTTGATTCAGGAAAAACAATGAAACCGCATTTTCAGTTTTCCTTGTGTAGAATTGGACAAGAAGATTCTGTTTTATAGTTTGGTGAAGTCATTGGTAAAAATTTTCTTTGTTTTCAAGTGGGGAGGGTGTAATTATGCAATCTGTTTCCGGGGCTAGTAGTTCTGGTGGGGTAGAGGAAACTTCACCAGACATGCTGAAGAATTCACCATCAAATATAAGAAGGTTGGCTCATGAGATTGAGCAGCATGATGGCAGGCAGAAGTATCTTGCTCAGACAAGGAGTCCATCGGACGGAGGGGACGTAAGGTGGTACTTTTGCAAAGTCCCTTTGGGAATAAATGGTGAGGTCCTAATCAAAAAGGAAAATGTTCTAATTTATATTGCAATTTGTGCTCTGGAATTAGTTCTTTAATCTTGTTCCCATTTATTGGCTACTGATGGTGGTTGATTGTGGGAGTAGGATGCAAGGAAAAGTTAGTTCAACTAATGACAACAATCATTCACACATTGGATAAACCTTCCTAATATATTGCTCACTTTCTGGTTTTCAGAGCTAGCTGCATCAGTCCCTCGAACAGAAATCGTTGGAAAAGGTCATTATTTTCGTTTTGGTATGAGGGATTCTCTTGCTGTAGAAGCATCTTTCTTGCAGGTCATGACATTTAACTTCTCTTCTATGATATAAACTTCATTGTGTTTTATCTATTATCTCAAGTCCATGCATAGAGAGAAACTACAGAATGCTAGAAACTATTATTACTCATTTTCTAATGAAAATTTCTGTACTTTATATGTAATTGAGGCATTAATTGAACTATATACAGAGAGAGGAGGAACTGCTTTCTAGTTGGTGGAAAGAGTATGCAGAATGCAGTGAAGGTCCAAGGGGGCAGCCTAGTATCAGCTCTAAAGCAAGTCAACATGAGAAAAAATCATGTCCAGAGAAAGCTCAATCGGACCAACTATATTCGATTGAAGAAGAGAGAGTTGGTGTCCCTGTGAAGGGAGGATTATATGAGGTATTAGTTTTATCTGTAGGCTTAATTCTTATTGGCTCAGCTTGCTGGGATACATAAGTATTTCTCCATTAAAAATAAAGAACTTTTGAGAACACCGCACATGGTAAATTTGGATTTTCCTTCTTAGCAAAGGAAGGCAGGTGGCGGCGGCTGTAACCACCGTTATGTAACTAAAAAACTGCCTTTTGAAATCAACATTGGGAAGTACAGAGAGACAAGAACCTTTAAAAAATCTTGTCACCAATTACTTGAGAGCTAAAATTGGCCTCGCAAGTAGCTGAATTTTCTTTGAGAGGGGTAGGGCACTTCAAAGGCAGATTAATGAAACAATTTTAGGAGAAAAATGGACAAGTTCTGCCACAGAAATTCAGTGTCAAACATACTAATATTTTGTTGATCACAATCAAATCAACTACTTGTCTTCGATTATACCTCTTCTTCGCAACATAATTGATGTATTGGAGCTTTAGGTAATAAATTTAAATGTACCACTTGTTTTCTATCCTGACTTGATCCTAATCACGTATAAATAAAACATTGTTGAATGTAAGTCTTCCTTCAAACACTATAATGAAATCTAAAGCTTGGTTCTTTCCAAGTACCAAAATGCCTGTGTTTTGAGTATTTTGCTCATGTACCATGTCTTTCACTGTTCGCACAGCAAAAAGAAAAAAAAGAAGTATAATGTCATTTACCATTTTTTTTTACACAACACATGCACTATTCTGTCAGGTTTCTTTCTTATCCATATAAACGACGAGCATATAACTTCATTTTCAGTGATTAAGTATATTGTATTATGTACTTTTTTATTCTCTTTGAAAATTTCAGAAAAGAAAAGACACTGCACTTGGGTGACCTCTGATTCTGCGTGACAAGTGCACGTTTCTACTACAAACAAATGGCAACAAACCAAGTTTTATTCCCCAGAAAATTGGGTCGACTATATAAATCTTTTTATTTACTCTGATCGGTTCACACACACATCTCGTGGATAATTGAAATGAACCACAATAGTCCATGTTTGTTTTAGTATACGTCTCTCTCCTGACATCTTCTACCGAGATTGCGTTCTCTTTTTTGAACAAGAGCCTCTTTAAGTCTACGTAAGACAAAGGACACAAGTCCTTACCTGTATTTACTATTATGGACTCCATATCCGCTCGTTGGCAAAATGAAATTTTGGAGGACTTGTATGAATTTTGTGATTTTGTTGAAACTTAGGCATGAAAGAATTTTTCACTCAACAAATTTCTTCCTCCGTCATATGGCTCATATTCTTCATGCCTTTAATGTAGCATTTAGATCGATTGACTGAGAAATTACCTCGATACTTTCATATATTATGGGTGGCGTAGGAGAAAAATTCCGCAAATTTTGCTACTGCACTGGTAAATAATAGAGCAACATACAAAGTAACAAATGATTATCTCATGATAATTTGTACACTATTGTTTTTATTTGTTTACTTCTATATTGAAGAAACTATTATTCGGACAATTAGAGTATGTTTTTGAAGTGTTTATAAATGGTAATGTATATAAACAGATATAACTGAGCGAGGGAAAAGTGGATATTACTTGTGGGTCCTATAAAATGTGTGGATATAAAATGGTTCAACAAAAAATTATACCACGTCCCATACTTTTAATATTTTGAACAGTAATACTGTTGTACACCTTTTAGCATGCATGACAACAACGTCACATCCCTTAAGCAATGGAGACTAAACCTAAAACATACAATTGTTTTCCTGCCTCCTGTAATGTTTTGATGATGTATAAAACACAGTGATGGTCAACGGGACAAAAGGGTTATTCGCGGATTGAACTGCCAATCATCACTTTCTTGCTAACGGTTATATTTTATATTGATGTTGATTGTTGTGGCATCGCCTGATCCAAATATCTCCTACTCGACCAATATCATGTGTGCCTCCACCCTTTTCTCTAGTTAATCTATCTTGAAAGGAAGTTTTATGTTTTTTAAGTTCTCGAATTAGGTATTTCAATCCTTCCATATAGTTTTCACGTAATGATTTCAGCTCACGTGTATATAGTCTAGATCTTTTCTAGTATTTGAATCATCTGGATGTTTAACTATAAAATTGCATTCTTTTGCCACGATCCACTTCTGAATTTTAATCAAAGATCGTGTTACCTCCTTTTTTGGGTGTTTCTAATTGGGGAAATTTGGCGCTTCTATATTTTAAACTCTTGAAAGTTCCCCATCCATATTGTTTCTGTTCTATGATGTCTCTCTTCAGTGATGTTATGCTAGAGGGTGCATATATTTGCATTCCTTTTTAAACTATTAAAGGAGAAATGGACAGGCATGGGTAGTGTTTAATTGTTGCTGGGCTTATAACTGCAATTTGTAGTTCAACGGTCGACCTAAATCCTTGGGGTTGCTGTCCACTTATCTTCCCAAGAGGAATAAAGCAAAACAGAAACAAAACTATAAAAGAACTTCCTGATTGTTGAATTGCATTTGTCGTAGGTAGATTTGATCAAGAGACACTGTTTTCCTGTTTATTGGAATGGAGAGAATCGACGCGTGTTACGAGGTCACTGGTTTGCCTGCAAAGGGGGTCTTGATTGGCTTCCACTAAGGGAAGACGTTTCCGAGCAATTGGAATTTGCATATCGCAGTCAGGTGCGATATGATACCTATTTGATTTAGTAAATTATAGTGGCGCTCAGATTTTATAATTTTCATGTGTCTAAAATACTCTACGTGTAATAGAAGATGATTTTTAACTGAGTAGTTACAGGATGCTTGCCTGCTTTTCTTTAAATTGTAAATGTGCATCTTCTTTGAGTGGAATGTGATAAACTTCCTCTCAACTTTTGTGCATCTTGTTTCCTTTTCAAATAATTGTTTTAGTGGGTAGATGGGGCTTCAATAACTGTGACTCCCAGGGTCTAAGAGCTTCAAGTATGTAAAAATAAAAGATTAATGCCATTAATAACAATTAACTAATCTTTTCAAAACAAGGTCCCAGGTTCAATTAATTTAACTTAAACTTAAAAGATGTTCAATAAAAATTTCTTAAAACCATAACCAAAAAAATTATTTTCCATGAACATATTTAATAAATCCTGCCTGTAAGCCATCTCGATGCTTCACCTCCTCAAACCGCTAGTTTCTGTAGGGGGAGAAAGGAGGGGTCTGATAATACTCAATAAGACACCAGTAAACTTTATAACATGTTTAAAGTCAAGAAAAAGGCGATAAAATTCATGTGCATAGTGTTATTAAAACTCCGGTCCCCATATCATGCTAAATTCCTGTTTGTATTCATATGGAACCCATAATCATGATTTCTTGAACATAAACAATTTATTCTTTTCCAAAAATATACCCTATTTGTGCGAAGTTATAAACATAATATCAATTAGGCCTTAGTCTTGCCTATTTTCTCTTGTCATGTAAGAGTATATACATTTTCCGAATTATTATAACTCCAACTGAATCCAATTACACACGAGACATGCATAAGCGAATATCATATCATAATAATTTAAGTCAAAACATATATTCTTCGTAAACCATTAAGGTTCTAAAGTCAAATTAATGGCTAGTAATCAGGGTATGGGGTGTAATAATAACTGTCATTAAACACACTGACGAAATTGGGATGCTTTCCCTTCAGGTTTGGCATCGAAGAACCTTTCAACCATCAGGTCTCTTTGCAGCTCGAGTTGATTTGCAAGGCTCAACACCAGTATGGCACTGTCTTCAACATAACATTTTTCTATTTTGTTTATGAGAGTCAAGTATGATTATATGTTGGCTTTCTGATTGCAGGGACTACATGCCCTTTTTACTGGGGAGGATGATACATGGGAAGCTTCGTTAATTGCTGATGCTTCTGGTTTTGGCGATGTCACAGGTGTTGGCAAGAATGGCATCAAGTTAAGACGTGGATATGCTCCATCCCAATCACCAAAACCAACACAGGTATTTTCTTTGTTACTTATAACTGTTGTTTGATAACAGAGTTTTAAACTTTCCTCTTCACTCTTGTATCTTTATTTTGGGTGGTTCCTTTATGGTGTCCATACTGGGAGGAGGAAAAGCTGTGAATCACAAAAATGCGAAGGGCCCACTCTATAAAATGATTTAAAGTTGTACTACTACAGAAGCGACAAGTTGTAGTTAAAAAAAAAAAAATTAAAACAATAACCTAAACACTATGCTTAAATAATGAGTTATTTATTTATTTTATTTTTTTTTAAAGCAGAATTCATATATAGAATTTTTTAAAACTTATGAAACACAAACTTTGTACGAATATGTGCAGATAATGAATTTGTGGACTTTTGTTTTGTATATATATGGTTGGGGAATCCAAACCCCATCAGCATTTCCTGGTGACGCCTGAAAATCGACTAAGGATATGTTGACATTTTGCTTAAAAAAAATGGTTTCTGAAAAGAAAATTGAAAATAATGAGAAAGAAGATACTGCTCCTCCTAAACAAACTATCAAGAAATTTGTTTGCAGCCTATTGTTGGACATCTCTTCTCCTATGAAGGCTCTTTTTAAGCTGTCACACTAAGGGCCAGTTGCCCACTTTTCTCGTAATACATGGATCTCTTTCTTGTTCTTCAGTGATAAAATTGGATAATGTGATTGATTATTGTTTTATAATTATTTAGGATGAATTACGTCAGAAGCAGGAGGAGGAAATGGATGATTACTGTTCACAGGTATTTAAAGTAACATCTTATATCCTGATATGATATATTCTTTTGAAATGTATCATACTAGATGCAGACTTGGAACAAATATCTCTGACATTTGGTGAAGATAAGACATAACGATGGTAACATGCAAAATAGATACTTCTTGTTAGGTTAGGTGCTCAGTCCATGTAGGAGTATGTAGTGTGCGGAGAGGGGAGAAAAAAATGTAGATGCTCAAATTAAAGGTGATTTGTTAATTTTGCTAAGTTTTATAGCTCATGGTAATTAAGGTTTTAATTTATGTCTTGAAAAGATGGTTCAATTTGGTTTCTGTCGGTCTATCTCTCGTTAGAATTGGTTAAGTTATTTTTCTATTGTCAATCGTCTAGTCGGGGAGGAGTTTTTACTCTTTTCGCTGTAACATTTTGTTGTTGCCGTGTAATGGAATATTTTCTTGTAGCTTATTCCAACTTTATAGGGATTAAGCTTGGTTTGTGTGTGTTTTTTTTTTCCCAAGTTAGCCCTTGTTTGGTGGCCATTTTTTCGTTTGGAAAATGTTGTTTTAAATAATGATTTTTTGGAAAATGTATGGTAAAAAAGTAGAAAAAGTTTTGGATTTACATGTAGAATATTTTATCGTGTGAATGTGTGGTTGAAAATGAGTATGTAGAAAAAAATGTTTTGAAAGAATGGGAGACAAACATGGACTTATTATCTTCTATATTTAATGCTCTGTTACATTTTTGCGGAGACTAGCAAAAAGCCTTGCCAATCTACTCATCAGCTTCCATGACTTTTGAGTTGGTATATTTTGAACTCAATACAACACTCAATATGTGTCCACAGTTATTTTTATTATCTACAACTCTTGTTTTGTATTGGTGTAGTTTTGAGGCGATTAACAAGCATTATTTTTGCTTATATTTGGTGACAGTGACGAACGTCAATGAAGTAGAATTTACTCTTAACTGCAAGTGGTTATAATTATTTCTGTAGGTTCCTGTTCGACATTTAGTGTTTATGGTCCATGGTATTGGTCAAAGGTTGGAGAAATCAAATTTAGTTGATGATGTTGGAAATTTTCGCCATATCACAGCGAACCTGGCTGAACGACACCTAACTCCACACCAGCATAGCACTCAAAGAGTTCTCTTCATTCCATGTCAGGTGGATAGTGCACTCTCTTTAGCATGTTTCTCTCTATACACTTTTTTCTTTTCTATTTTCCATTCTGTGAAAGTTAACTATTTTTCTATTGGAATATGAGAAAATATTTTGCACTTCCTTTTCTCATTCTCAACTAATGTTTCCTTTCCTCTATATTTCATCTTATTACTTATTTGGTTTTGCCAGTGGAGGAGGGATTTAAAACTTAGTGGTGAAGCTGCAGTTGAAAAAATCACTTTGGATGGTGTTCGAGGGCTGCGTACTATGTTAAGTGCTACAGTTCATGATGTCTTATACTACATGAGCCCTATCTATTGTCAGGCCATCATTGACTCGGTATGATGTATTGAAACTTGCAATCACTTCTAGACTGTTGGTAGCTGCAAAAGTATGGACCTTCACTTGTTCGGCCTTCGGCCATGTTGAGGAACCTTGATAAATTGCTTGTAAAGAATCATAAAGATTCTCTAATTCTTTCAATCCAAGGACTAACTAGAAAGTCTTGCTCAGATACTTTACCTTCCGGATCCAGGTCAAGTACATCGATCCTTTGTTGCCAGGTTGCCCCACATAGGTCTACGAACTCTAGTTCGTTATGAAATAGCTTTCATTTCCTTTCTATTATTTCATGCTAATTTCCTTACTGCTATTAATCTCTTTCAAAACCTGTTCAAAAACATTGTCTATTTAAGGCCTCTTTAGCCATCAATGATTTATTTTCATCTTTTTATTCTTTTATCTTAGGACACGGTATGTTGATATAGAAATTTTTGCTGTTTTACCATCTCAGAATATTATCACCAGATTACATTTTTCTCAATACAGAATTTACTTAGCTCTTATTGGTCCCCATTATTTCTAAAGTACATTTTTCTGTCTCTTATTATCAACCACACATTTTTCAATAAAATAGTATTACACGCAAATCCAAAAACTTTAATTATTTTTTAACCACACATTCTCCATCAAAATACTATTCTAAAATGCATTTTGGGCACAAAATGGTGCTCAAACAGTCTCTTAGCAACATGTGGAAAAATGACCATTTCTGGGTTGCTCTGCAAGAATTACATTTTAACACCATTAAATGTTAACTGTCTAGGTGTTGTGAAGTTCTGAATGAAATAATTTCTTGTTCAGGTATCAAACCAACTCAACAGATTGTATTTAAAGTTTCTTAAGAGGAATCCTGGTTATGATGGAAAGGTATATGTATGGCTGATAGAGCATGGAATATTTTCCTCTTAATATTCTTTGAATATTCAAGATTATTACTCGTGAATCAGACTACTTACCCAATTCTGCTTCTACTTATGTTAGGTTTCCTTATATGGTCACTCTTTGGGGAGTGTTCTATCTTACGATATCCTTTGTCATCAAGAGACTTTGTCTTCCCCTTTTCCAATGGAGTGGATGTACAAGGAACGTAATATGAACGAGACATCTTACCCCAGTAGGACTAGTAAGAGCATCATGGACTCTGTAGATAAAGAAAATATGAATGAAGAGCCATGTTTTCCAAACCTCGTGGAAGAACCTACTGAGGACTCCTGTAATCCAGTGGGTCCCCCTTCAGAGTCGGATATATCTACTACTACTGATGTTGCCTCCCAGCAGCCAAATGATGCCTCATCGTCAGATGAAAATATTGAACCTTCTATTGATTGGAATGACTCAGTTTCTCACGAAGGCGACGTGATAAATGAATCAACAAGCACGATAAGCCATGTTGTAGAGTGTAGTGAAAATAAAATCGACAAGGATGCTTCTGATTGTGATAAAGACAAGATAATTAAATCGTGCAGCCAAGAGGTCTACATTTTTGCATTTTTTTATTTCTCCTGATATATTACTCTTATCTTCTCACAAATACACTTGTGTTTCAGATTGAATTGCTAAAAGCCAAAATTAAAGAATATGAATCTAGAAGTGACAACAAAGGTACAAAAGTGGTGACTTCAAGATTATCACCTATAATGATGGATTATTTCTTTTTTAACTTTATAGTTCTGCGTATTTACAAGTTCAATATTTTCAATTGCATGTGTTATACTACCAGGGAATGGGGAGAAAAGAACAACCGTAACCAATCAATCTGATTCTGAGAGGGTTCCATCTGGGCAAAGTGATTCCTTAAAGACTTATACCCCTCAAATAAGATATTCAAAGTTAGAATTTAAGGTATTTTTTCCGTTGTTGACTTACCCTTAAGGACTCTTGTCGATTCAAGAATAAGCTTGGACTGTCATGTTCTAGTATGCTCATAAGAATTTGAGTATGTACCATATGCAAAAAAGAGTAACAATAGTAATATACTATGTATTTGCTCAAACCTTGCTATCCAACCTCTTTTTTTCTGTCTACATTTGCATTTCATGCGAGATTTGTTCATTAAATTGTTTTTTTCTTTTTTATGTCAGGTTGACACTTTTTTTGCTGTTGGCTCTCCTCTAGGCGTGTTTCTTGCCCTTCGCAACATTCGTATTGGGATCGGTATGGTCAATACTTGATGCTTGTATGTTTTATAATTTTCTGTGTTCTTTTATTTATGTAGTTACTTATAATTTATCAGTGTCATTATCATTTATTTACCTCTTATTGGTGAGTTGGGTAGGAAGAGGCGTGCAAGGGATCCTAATCTGAGAAGTGTCATGGAAAAGTTTTTTGGATCCTAGGGAAGATTAGATTGCATTCTTAGTTGTTACAATTTTCAATATGCATTCACCATATTTCACTGTTCTAATTTGTGTGGAAAATTTCACCCTCGTGTTCTTTTCCCCCTAGATAGAGGTTAAGAACGTATTTGTTGCAACTTGAAAATTTTATGAGTTATCAGCATGCTGCTGATGCTTGCATACTGTTCACCATCCCTGTCCTCTCTGAAGATGTTTATAATACTTACCTGTAAATTTTTAGTGCACATTCTTGGTACTTTTGCATCTCAAGAATGCAAATCTTTGTACTGTGACATTTTCTTTTTCACGATTTTCTGCTTTGTTCAAAATATGTACTTGCATTATATTTTCTTATATAGATTTTTCTACTTTCTTTTACATATTTAGCAATGAATTCTTGCTCATTTGGTTTGTAAGTTCAAGTTGAGAAATTTGATATATAATTTTATTTTGCCTTGTGATTGTCTGATAAATAAATTTATATTTCATTTACATTCGGTTTCAAGTTCACTAAAATGTCTTTCTGGTCTATTGGTTATAGGCAAAGGAAAAGAGTATTGGGAAGATGAAAATATAAATGAAGGGATGCCAGCATGTCGGCAAATGTTCAATATCTTCCATCCTTATGATCCTGTGGCATATAGGTCTGTCTTAGACCCTCTTGTGTATTTCTTGAACCATTTATGTTTCTAACAAACCTCATATGTAGCAATATGTGGTAATTGTGCAGAATAGAACCACTAATCTGTAAAGAGTTTATACACAAACGTCCTGTCATTATTCCTTACCACAGAGGTGGGAAGCGGCTATATGTTGGATATCAAGTAAGTGCACTATAGCATTGTTTAATGTACGTTTTCGGCTTCTCTTCATTATTTATGCTCATTTCATGTCAAACAGGAATTTAAGGAAGGGTTGGCTTCACGTTCACAGGCTTTGATGGATCTGTTGATCACAGTAAGGGTGGGTGCTTACTAGTTTTGCTGTCGTGTTACTTCATGATTCATTTATAAAGCCCTGAAGCAGCAAATAGTAATTAACAAAACAATAATCTCATTAAAGATTAGTGGGGTTGGACTTCAGCTGGAGAATTAGAGGGCATAAACGAACTCTTCCCCTGTTCCCTTCTCTATATGCTGTTTGAATACTATGAGGTCTTACTGTATGCTTTTTGAATAGGTTAAAGTTCTTACACTCTGTGAATCAAGAAACAAGGAAGGCCAGGATGGTAAGCATGCTTTGTCTTTCGTTTACCAACTTCTGCTATTAGGTTGTCCAAGTCACAATTATTTATACGATAGAGAGCCGTGAGACTCTCATTCAGCCACACTACATTTTCTTTTGGTTGATTGATGTATATCTTGCAGAGGAATCAGAAAACAACCAAGAAAAAGAAGAGAGATCATATGGCTCAGTTATGATGGAAAGACTAACAGGAAGTGAAGGTGGCCGAGTTGATCATGTTTTACAAGTACGTGTTTTAGCCTTAGCCTTACGGCATCGAATTTGAGAGCAAACGTTATTTGTATTCTTCATGACTTATCTATTAATGATATTAAACTGCGTGCTCGTAAGTTAAGAGCATGTCTGGCTAAGCTTAGAAAGTAAGTCAAACTTCAAGTAATTTTTTATTTCCAAGCATGTTTGCAAATGTTTGTTTTAGCTATTTATTTGACAATAAGGTAGGGGATACTTTCAAAACTAAGCTACTGATTTCCAAATTTGGACTGTCAATAACTATAGTTTGTTATAAAGCTTACTTATTAACTCATAAGTACAATTTTTAAGCTTAGCCAAACATGCACCAAGTCTCAAGATGCATCTGGAGTCAAAGAAGGCATTGGTTTTGATCTATTTTGGGTTTTGCTAATGCAGGATAAAACTTTTCGACATCCCTACGTATCTGCCATCGGTTCACATACGCAAGTTTTCTAACTCGAACTTACTATTTCCAATTTTTGCACACGTCCAACCTTGACAAACTGTTACATTTGAAATGGAATGTGAAAAATGATACTTCTTTTATGGGAATATTTTCACAGGAACTATTGGAGAGATCACGATACTGCTCTTTTTATATTAAAGCACTTGTATCGGGATATACCGAAGGATCCTGTCTCACATAACGAGAATCGAGAAGACAGCTTGAAAGATGAGAGTAGTTTGGAAGGTTGGTCTAATTGGAGGGAGGTGGCCAGTGAAGAACTCCCTTTAACCTTTGCCGACAAAGTTTTTATAGATAATTTCTCCCAGAAAGTGAAGAACACGGTAAAACGATAAATGATACCGGACGAGGTTGTAAGAAACTGTTTACTCGCCTCGAGGACTGTATGCGATGAGTAATGCTATTCAATGTCAAGCACTAGTTTAGGTGGCAACTTGATAACATTAAATGATAAATTCACTTAAATGCAATGTCTCTCATTTAATTGAACTTATCAAGTGTAACCATCTAGACCGGTGCTAAATAGCATTATCATGCAATATAGATAGGTACGAAGATACTTGCACTGTTTTTTTGGTTACTGTACATTGAGAGATTAGTTGGGTAAAATGGTAGAGTAGCTTAGGAAGTGTGTGCATATGAACTTTTTTATTTCCTGAGATTTAATTACATGTGAATATGTTTTGCTGTATATTTCATCGTCCTACTCCTACCTGACCTAGGATGTCGCACAATATTTTGACACGGATATATTCAGAATTGTCACGGATAAAAAAAAATTGAAAAAACTGAAGTTGGTTTATGATCTCGCACAATTTCTCTCACTTTATTTTACATAGCTAAGACTAAATGGATAAAAAAATTGGAAAAACTATGGTTATGTCGCGTTCTTGTTTGGTCTCCATTAAATAAAAAATAAGTTTTTTCAAAACTTATTTTTAACTATACATTCTTCAATAAAATAATATTACACGTAAACCCTAAAATTTTCTTTACTTTTTAACTAAACATTTTTCAAAAAATTACTATTTTAAAATACATTTTTCTCAAAACTTCATTAAAATGGATCCCAAACAATTGCTTATTTTAAAGAGCTGGACTCCTATCAGAAATTTTAGAGTGTTCAACATTTTCATCAAGTTCTAATAAGTTGTGTTTGAATGAGAATTGTATTCTTACAACTTTAACTATATTATGAAGTTTCGGTTCTCAAAAAGTTTTTGGCTCTTACTCAATTATCTTATACTGTGCTCAGTTCTCTTTTAGTTTTATCATATTTTTTGTAAAATTCATATTATACAATTTCACCACCGTGTTTCCACCATAGCAGTGTTATATCCATTGTCATCACGTCCACCAGCACTACTACACCATTTAAAGCTTGTCTGGGCGCAATTTTCTCCAAGATTTTGAGCGAATTTTTTACCGTTGGAGTAAATCAAGCCGAAATCTTTGACCAAGCCTGAGAGAGTGGGACCCATAAGTTTGAAAAAAGGTAAAAAAATCACTACAAATTTTGTAAAAAGCAGCAACAGACACACCACTAGTGTTACAAAATCAACGCCGTCAGTCTCACCACTTATAACATTTATTGTTACACCGTCACTACTTATAACATATATAGATGCACCATTGCCGCCACCTCCATTACCCGCATCACCACCACTAGTTGTCACGTGTACTCAATTACCTAGATTAGATTATGGAATTGATTGAAAGGTTCTACTTATGTAACCCATGTGCATGTTTGCTACGTTACAATAGATTTTGGTTTTTTCTTTCTTTAGTGTTGCATTGCATACACGAATGTATCTGTGTTTCGAGGGGTGGAAGGAGGGGAGCAGGTCTAGGCTATAGCCCCCAATAACGTACTGTGACATCGATAGTTAAATATACAAAAAATTAAACATGTGAAGTTGTTAGAATTAAGTCCAATTAAAAACTCACAAGCATCCCACGTAATTCAAGAAACTCTAACTACTCACTATTTGACAAATTTTCTTGATTAAGCCATTATAAACTGAACAAATCAACTAGAAATATATGAATAGGGAACTTAGTATTGTAATTTAACTCCACGTCATTTATCATGAAACAATAGTATATAGACTTTCATCTATAGAGAGAGCGAAACTGACTTGATTTTAAGAAAAAGAAAAAGAAGAATTTGGAGGACCCAACTAAAACTCATAAAACTTAAGAATCAAGAATCAGATTGAAATCGTTCGGTTCTCAATTTAAACAATCAGTTCCAATCATTTTACTGTAGAAACCGATCTCAATCGCCTCATGAAAATTTCCAATTGAGCAAGGATGAGGAGGGCCATCTTTATCATCTGTGAGCCACGGTACACACGATGCATTGAGTGAATTATTGAGGTGGACCTTATGCAGCTAAAGATATGAAGAAGTTAGTTATGTGAAATCTTAATTAGGGGGTGTTTGATAGATATTATCGAGAAAATAATGTATTTTAAATAGTGATATGATGAGAATATACGTGGTTAAAAAATAAGGAAAAGTTACTGATGTGATGAAAAATATTATTTTATTAAAAAATGTGTGGTTGAAAATGAGTTTTGAAAGAATATATTTTGAGGCTTCCTGATTTTGATCCAAAACCCAATTGGATCGACTTTGGACTAGGCATGTTTCAATTTTAATTAGATTTTTATAGAATTGAGTTTCTTGGTTTCGATATTCGAATTCTTAACATGCATATATTTATCAAACAGGGATGACATATCTAAAAAAATAGCACATTTCTCCCTAGGCGATGCACAATGTGCTCATGCTTTTTAAAATTTACTTTTTACTTTCTATAATAATAAATTTTGTTAGCAAAGAATGTAGTTTTGAAATTTTACATTTGTTCGAGCTCCATTTTTTTGGAAATGTTTATTTTCTAATAATAATTTTTTGAAAAATGTGTGATTGAAAATACGCGTGGAGAAAAATGAGTTTTTAAATAATTGAGTTCAAACATGGGTTAAAATTTAACAAAAGTAATTACTTTTTAAAACTTAATCAAACATTTGAATTTTGTTAAAAACTTCAATATATGTAGAGATTCGTCACAACGTTAGCCCAATGATCGGAGCTTGATAAAAAAATTCATAGTTCTATTGTTGGATAGGATTAGATGTCACGTTTAAAATAAGTCCATGTAAAGACACGTTTGAGGTAAAGAGTCTTAAAGACGTTGTAATACACTTTTTCGAATTAATGCGATCAACAAATGATAGTACATCTCTCCACTTTAACTCCTTTTCCTTCGAACTACCTTTCCATTGAATCGTGCCCTTATGTGATCCACTCTTCACTTTTAGTTTTACTTATAAATACTAAGTCATTTGACTTTTTAAGGCATGTACTATAATCTAAAACTTCCATCTATTGTAAAAATCTTTTCCAAACCAAATATTTGGTTTGGAAAAGGGCAGTGTACGTCAATCAATTGTGACAACTCACATGTAATTAAGCTACTCAACTACCCATTCAATACTTTGATTGGCTGAGTAGTAGGACAATTTTTCAACAGTAGAGGAACTCTCCAAGTGTGAAAATGAGGGTTACAAAAACGAATAGTGAATCTAGTGGTGGCAATGGATTGAGCAGGCTAGGCTTGGCCCATATATCCTTGAGCTAGTGACAAGTCGAGTTCAAGCTCATTCGAGCACAAGCCGAGCACGAGCTCGTGCTCTCGTTTTTGTAACCCTCATTTTCACACTTGAAGAGTTCCTCTCGTGCTCTCGTTTTTGTAACCCTTATTTTCGTACTTGAAGAGTTCCTCTACTGTTGAAAATTTGGTTCACCTCCTTCTCGTCTGTTGGATTGGATCACAGCCCAAATGAATACAACCCAAATAATAATATTCATTTGTTTTGTATTTATTGCGTATAAAATGGAAAAAATAGCTGAAAGACGCGAAATTCCAACGTGGCATCCATTTCACTCCATTTCTGCGACCGATTGGTCAGAGAGAGCGGACTCCTATCGGCTCAATTCCGATCTCCCTCCGCCACCACCGCCGCAGACATTTTTCCATTTCCCAAAGTAACCTTATCCACAATAAGAAATCCCAACCATGTCCTTGAATATGAAGACTCTATCCCAGGCCTTCGCCAAGGCCTCTGCAGCGATCGAAAAAACGGTTCAAACTACGGTCCAAGAAGTCACCGGTCTACCTAGAGCGTTACAGGACTACGAGCTTTCGGAACAGATCGGCTCGGCTGGGCCGGGTCTGGCTTGGAAGCTTTATTCCGCTAAGTCACGTGGCGGCCACGTGCCGACAGTGTATCCGACCGTCTGCGTATGGCTATTGGACAAACGGGTCCTGTCGGAGGCCCGACAGAAGGCTGGGCTTTCGAAAGCAGCTGAGGATGCGTTCCTGGACGTGATTCGGGCCGATGCTTCCCGGCTTGTGAGGCTGCGGCATCCCGGGGTTGTCCACGTTGTCCATGCGTTGGATGAGAGCAAGAGCTCCCTGGCTATGGTCACTGAACCACTTTTCGCATCCGCTGCTAATGCACTGGGGAGTGTGGAGAATATTGCCAAAGTGCCCAAGGAGCTTAAGGGAATGGTATGGTCTTCAATTTAGAATTTGAGGTTCTGGTTTTGTGGATATTTTATAAATTTGATAATTTAGAATAGATGGTTCTTTTTTGGATGAATTTAGTAATTTGAGAAGTGCTATTTTGATTTCGAGCTTGAATTTGAGTCATTTTGTTTCAAATGTCTGTGTCAGTTTTTTCTCCCTAAAGATGACAATGGAGCGTTCTTCTATCATTTTTTGGTTTTTGAAGTAGAATGGCTTTTGGGAAATTTGTGATTTTATGTAGTAATTGAAGTCAGATCAATATGAGTTCTATTTGTAGGATTTTGACACACTTGGAACTGAGCCCATTTTATTTGTAGATTTAGCTATTTGTAGATCCACCATTCCTTTGAAATGAATTATATTAAACTTTGAACTCAGCAATCTAAATATGGGACTTTAGGCTACAATAACTATGCCATGTTCCTTTGATAATATTGCAGGGAGGAGACCCAATCATGAAATTAACATGGAATTTTCTAACTCAAGGTTAAGAAGAATGATTTAAAACAAAAATGTCCTTCCGTGGATAGAAGTTAGGAGTAAATCCTGTTTTCTTCGTAAACATTGATAATTAAGCCCTCAAATAAGATTCAGAGGGCATCTTGTTGAACTTAGCTTGATCACGTGAGATGATTAGATTTGTATTGCAGTAACTGAAATGTTTAGTCTATAGGCTCCTTTTCCCACCTTTCTCATCTCACTACCCATCAAAGTAAAATGCAGAAAATTCTTGGAGCTGGTTATACTTAAACCTCTTTGTAGTGAGAATAATGATGAATCTATCTACACGCTTTATGTTATTGATGCTAGAAAACAATAAAAATTAGTAGCAGTTGAGGGAACAATCAGTGATGATTGTTACTGTAAGCTGCGTCACCCAGGAGAAAAGTCAAAGAGACGTAGGAATTTCACCTAGAATTCTTCAAAGACTGTTGCAAGGCTGTATGCACGTATTATGGGCACTTCATTTGGTTGATACTTAGTATGTCTTGATCATGTCTTCGTTCTTGAGTTAATAGAAAGCTGATACTTGTACAAATAAAACCACAAAAGATTAGGAATTTATGTGTTTTGGAGGCCTACCAATTGTTTGACACAAAGGATGGAGACTATAATTACTGTGAATTCTCTATGTTGCAAAAGCATATTAAGCCCTTGTTTGTACCGATTAAACTCTAGATTTTAATTTAAGTTAAAGTCAACAATTCATATCGACCACATAGTTTATAGGTCCCACAACTTTTCAATCACATATTTCATTAACTTCTATCAAAATCTACTAAAATTCTGATTTTAATTCCCCCAAACTGAGGCTAAATTTCCCACTGAATTGTATCTAAGAGGATTCCTTATCGCAAAAATGTTATCTATTAAAATACATGTATCTGCAAATACTTGGTATAAAATTTCGTAATGAATGTGTGGAGCAATGTCATGGTTAACCACGATGAATTCCTAAATATTTCTGTTCTTTTACTAGGTTGATGCACTGAAAACACATTATTGTTAAGGGCATGCTCAAAGAGGAATGTAATATGAGTTTAGATTAATATTTAACTAGGTAGAGGAAAGAGAAGTGAAAATGACAGATATTCGGGCTCGAGAATAAATGAAGAATAATATTTAACCAGGTAGAGGAAAGAGAAGTGAAAATGTGAGGTGTCATCCAAGACTGATGGTACATCTGGTGACCTATTCCATCAACTATCCTTTGTCCTTTTCTTCAATATTATATTTAATTATCCAACAATCTATCGATATTTTTATTATATATTATTACAAGCACAATGATTCTAGGATTTAGATTTTCAACTTTTGGGATGGTTGTTGGTGTAGAGATCAACTGCTTAAGGTGGGATTTCCTTCTTTGTACCGTATTGCATTGGAGCCGTATGCCATAGTGAAGAATGTTTTAGATATCCATAATGGGAGATCTAGTTGGAACATTGTTTTTGGTCGGGGTTTGCAGGACTGAGAATTGGATGATTATGGACTGCTTTTGACATCTTTATACAAGGTACATTTTAGGGAGGGAGAAGGTGATTGTAGCAGATGGAGGTTGACATGAGATGGTATTTTTTCAGTTCGCACTTATTTTAGATCCTTATTGGGTCCTGTAGAGAGTTCATTCCCCTGGAAGATGGTTTGGAAGTGTAAATTGTCTCCACGCGTGACATTTTTGCTATGGACGGTGGTCAGATGACAGGTGTTAATGGTGGATAACCTCCGTACAAAGGGTTTTTATGTCACAGAGTGGTGCTATATGTGTAAGAGGGATGGGGAGACGATTGATCACTTATTCCTTCATTGTGATGTTGCTCGCTTACTGTGGAACGATATTCTGGTGTCGCAACACATGGATTGGGTGTTACCAAGGCATATGGAGGACATGTTAAAAGGCATGGAGGAGAAAGTTTCGAGAGGATAATGAGACCTTATTTCGGGCTGTACCGTTTGGTGCGTGTGGAGAGAACGAAACAGTCGATGTTTTGAAGCCAATCACAGACAATAGAGCATATTAGAGAATTGTTTTATTTTACATTGTACACTTGGTTTAATGTTGCGGTTACTAGGCATATAGACGGGTTGCCGAATTTCATGTTGTTACTTTCCGATTTAACTTGATAATACACTTCCTGTGTATTATGCATTGATTAATAAAATATATGATTACCTTTCAAAAAAATAAAAACTTTTCTTATTCAATGTTTTCTAAGCTGTTATATTCTACTTCTCGCCAATTCCTTGTTGGCATCTCCATGTTGTGCCATATCCTTGTCCTTTATCTGAACCTTGAGTCTAAGGCTATTCAATTAGCTCTCATAGGTAATCATTGTTATGTATAAATTGCTATCAACTATCAATATAAATTTAACCAATGTACGATACCGAAATAAATTTGAGTAACTGAATCTTCATTCTATTTTTTCTACACCTAGTTTCTTGATTGTTTTGGAGAGAGAATCCCCTTCATCTCCTTGGTGTTTGATGTGCCACAAGTTTAACATAGTTGGAGGAGTTGGCAAACAACATTTTGTTATGCAATTCACCCTTATAAACCATGTTTGAGGATTGTGGTTTTATACAGCCCATTTCAATTTGTTCAGGAAATGGGGCTGTTGGAGGTGAAGCACGGTCTTCTCCAGATTGCAGAAACCTTGGATTTCCTTCATAACAATGCTCGTCTCATCCACCGGGCTTTATCACCTGAGGTTAGAAATTATTCTTTCTTTATATTTTGTTTCTTTGCAGTTTTAGGTTTAATGCTGTCTTTGTTTCGCTTTCTTCTGTCTTTTGTGTGTTTGTGTCCAAAGGAATATGTTCCTTTTTCTCTTAATATTTATATACTAGTTAGCTAAAAAGGAATATAGTGTGTATATGTTGAAAGTAGCTGTACAGATTTAACTATTTAACTTTGGGACATTGTTGAGGCAGGAAAACTTAAAGGGCATAGTTGTTACTTGTTACAGTAATCCAATTATCTCAGCCTACTTTTTTCTCAGTTTTCAGAAGTATTCAAATTGTTTAATTCTGTTTTTCAACATTTGTCTTCCGTTGGGGCTTAAAGAAGTCTTTATCATTCTTTTGGTTCTCACTCATTAGATTCAAAGATCTGTTTCTAGCTAGTTCTTTGTTCTTCAAAGTATGGCTTGGCGCGGTTATGAAGCATCTATCTTTTTTGGATCCTCCTACAGATGTAGTGATGGACGTAATATAATGGTGGAAAAGGTTAATGTAGCCGTACCCAAATTTATTGTGAATAAGCCCTCGTTTGACACCCATTTTATGGAAGAATTTGATTTGCAATATTGATTGGTGGAAGAATGTGTGGTTAAAAAGTAAGGAGAATTTTTGGGTTTATGTGTAATATTATTTTATTGATAAAATGTGTGGTTGAAATAAAGAATGAGAAAAAAATGAGAAAGAGAATGAGAAAAAAAAAATGGATGTCAAACAAGGGCTAAGACTTGGTTGTTAATAGTTTTAAATCTAATCCTTTATTTCTAGTAAAAATTTTGGAATTTGAGCATCTCATACAAAGCCTTCAAAAGTTGAATTTGGATCTTGTTGCCAGTGACAATGGGTTAATAATATTGTTGCTCTGCTGTTGTTTTCTATATTTCAACACTTATATAGAATTTTGAAATGTTTCTTTGGAACCTTTTTGACACTTGTAATTAGAATTTAGAAATGTTACTCGGGAATCTTGTCTACTAGGCATAGCTCTATCAAGCAGATCTGGATATTTATATTATTTTATTACCAGTTCAGTGCCATATGGTGTTCATTTTTTAATGAATATTCCTAAAGTAAACAGAAGCCTTTTCGTTTGCTCAATTCTGAAGGATACTGATAGAAATTAGAATATTACATTTCCTTAGGCTCTTTTGAGCCAGGGAATTGGTTTTATTTTCCTCTTGTAGGATATAGATATCATGTGATAGAAGTTCTGTTGCAGGCTGTCCTGATTACATCAAATGGAGCCTGGAAGCTTGGTGGCTTTGGTTTTGCGATATCAACTGATCAGTCATCCAATGATTCTGCAAACGTGCAGTCTTTTCATTATGCTGTGAGTAATGAACCTGTGGATCTTGGGAAGCATACATATTATTTCTGTCAGAATCTCCCCCACCGTGCTTTTTAAATGCACCGTTGTTCAAAATCTGTGTTGTTAATTTGCATCTTCTTTGGGTATGTATAATTATTGATATGGTTTAGGGTTTCATTTGGCAAGGCTTGTGAATAGTTACAAGTTACTTTTGAACCTATTTGGATAATTTTCTGAAAGTGATTTGTGTGGTTACAAGTGCTTTTAGAGAAAGTTGGAAGTAAGCTCTGCCAAACGGGCCCTTAGTATTTGGAAGAATTCGAACAGAAATGTTGACTTTATTGATGGGGTTGATTGTATTTTATTTTATTTCATTACTTTCCTTTGGCATCTTCTTAGATTAGAAAGCAGTTGATCTAGATTGTCATGATGCACAGTATTTCGCCAAATTGTTATCAATATTTTTCCTAGGGCTATGTTTATATGTTTGTTTTTATTACATTAAACTATGAAATCATTTGATTTGATCTATTAAAAACAAATTGATAGGTTTCAATGTGAAACATGATTGATATATTGAACTGATATTCTATCTGATTTGGATTTCACAGGAGTACGACGTCGAAGATTCTATTCTCCCCCTTCAGCCATCATTAAACTACACTGCCCCTGAACTGGTTCGAAGTAAAACATCTTCAGTCGGGTGCTCTTCTGATATTTTCAGTTTTGGATGCCTGGCCTACCACTTGATTGCTCACAAGCCTTTGTTTGATTGCCACAACAATGTGAAGATGGTACTCTTTTCTTTTTTTCTAGGAATTTTACAAGTATTATTGGAATAACTTGGTTCATCTTGATAGTAAGAATAATCTTAATCACTGAAAGAAGTAAATTGTACATATGCTGTATACATTTGGGTATAAGCAATGAAAGTGTTGTACTTGTTCAAAGTACATGTAGGGTTCATTGAGCAAACACCTTATTGGATTTGGGGGGTTAGGATTATGAGGGATAGGGTTGGGGGGGTTGTATTAGGGAGAATTATGGTGTATAGTTAAAGTATGGTGAATGGTACAATACAGTATTAGAAAAACGTACAACGGTCTAAATATTAGAAATTTAAAAATTTATGATAATGTTTTTGGCCAAGGACTTTAAAAAAGTATTCTAACTTGCTAAGGAATTCTGTATCATTGGTTGCAATCTGGATTTGCTGAAGTGGTTCACAACAGTTTGAAGTTTTCTTGATGTAGTTTTCTCGAAACAGATGCAATTATTATTTTTTATTATTGCCGTCACATCCTTTCTAAATTTGTTACTTATAAGTTCGTCCTCTGTTTTAATAGTAGTTGTTCTTGTGCAACTTTCCTGCAGTACATGAATAGTTTGACTTACTTATCCAGTGAGGCTTTTTCTTCCATTCCGAGGGAGCTGGTATCCGAGTTACAGAGAATGCTTTCTGCAAATGAAGCTATCAGGCCGTCAGCCATGGATTTTACAGGTACATGGGCATTTCCTTTTTCATCCTTTTATTTTATTTTATTTTATTTTTGGGTGGAGGGGATTGTTATATGGTCTCTGTTGCTTTGCAAGGTGGAGTCCTATATGATCCTATGACAAGTAGTGAGTTGGACAATTTTTTAGTTAAATTAAGATAAATGAACATAATGCTTGACATATGGGTTGACCGACCTCTTACATTGTATGTGGGTCCCGACCTGAATTAAATAATGCCGACCTCCCCCATATGTGTATGTTGTGTCATCCCCTATGTCAAACATTATGTTTGTGTGGCAAAACTCTTTTTAGTTAGTGCAGCAATGGAGGGATGCTAGTCTATATCAGATGGATACGTGCATGAATTATAATGTAATGCTTGTTTCTTTTAAGAATGAAAGTATTCGATAACTAGCAATTCGGCTGACTGCTTCATATGACACTTGCAGAAAATAGAAATAAATAAAATAATGAACCTAGATATAATAAATAAGTGACGCAATAATGAAGAAAATTTGTTTACCAGTTTTTGTTAAGGTCTGGGCACCTCACTAGTAAATGTCGCTTTTGTTTTGTGCATGCCCAGTTGCTCTCTAGGATCAGAAGGGCGAGAGTGACTTGCTGAAGCCGATAGCATTTAAGCCTTGTACGGCTTGGTTTGTCTTGTATTATCTATTAGCTTTAGTGTTAAGAGTCTTCTCATGCTAAAATTTTTATAAGTTGTCACACTAACAATTACATGTCTTTCAACTATGTTTTTCTCCAAATATGTGTTCACTGTTTTCAGGCTCACCTTTTTTCCGGGAGGATACTAGGTTGCGTGCTCTCCGCTTCCTGGATCACATGCTTGTATGCAATTATTTTTCGCTTTTAGTTCTGTCATGCTAGTTTGAGAAGTTACATGATGCAATTTTGGTGAAAATGGAATCTGAGATTACCTTTATTGCTTGCAGGAAAGAGATAACATGCAGAAATCAGAGTTTCTAAAAGCATTATCAGACATGTGGAAGGATTTTGACTCCCGTGTATTGCGGTATAAGGTTCGAGATTTTGCATTCCCATTTATATGATTCTGCTTTACAGTCTTGCTGGTCATCTACATATGTAAAGTGTCTAGAACTTATAGTCATCTTGTTTATGTGGATGCTAAAATAGTAGAGGTAAGATGAAAAGTAAGTACAAGTATAAAACTTGTATGCTCTGATTTGGACTATTTTCCTCTACTTAAAACATTTTGAACAATCTACATATGCAATCAAGTTATGGATTCAATACAAGTATCCGATGTAATTGTCTTCCTTGTCCAAACTCTAATAATCTTGAGCTCATATTCCAGTACCCCTAGGAAGAATGATGTCTCAAGATTACACGTTCATCAATTTCCCCAATGTCTGGTTTTGATGGCTTTGATGATGCAATGGATGTATTTTTAACGTGTAATAATTAGTCTAGTCATTGCCTCTTATGAAGTTTTGGCAAATTGAACTCTTTTTGCTGCCAAATGCAGGTTCTTCCCCCTCTGTGTGCAGAGCTTCGAAATTTGGTAATGCAGCCAATGATTCTACCTATGGTTCTGACCATAGCAGAGTCTCAGGTAATTTGATTGGTTATCTTTGTATTCNGGTAATTTGATTAGTTATCTTTGTATTCTCAAAGTCCCCTTGTCATATTATGGAGTTACATATCATCAGTTAAAATTACCATTTACCTACTCTTTTAAACTTCGAGTTGATTTAACTCATTTTGTGTCTGCTCACATGCATTTCTGTATGTAATTTTAGTGCATGACTTGATAGTTGATTAGTTGATACCGTGAACTTCTATATCTAGACATGAATGTTAAAATGTTCAGGGTTTGTTGTCGATACTGGGGTTAAGTTTGCAATGCCTAATACCATGATCATTAATTTAGAAAATGCAAGACCCATGTACTGGGGAAGTAATCTTTTCTTTGATACATTTTTAATGATATTCTTGACAATTTAATTTCTATACTTGCATTTGAAACATCCCACAATTTGCATACAAGACGTGTATTTTATTTTCAAAGATCTTATATTTGCTTTATGCATTCATGGAAATTTCTCTGTGCATATTGCTTGCTCGTATGTATGTTTCAAGTTGCAGGTTATATTATTTCTCGCAGCCTTTTCCGTAATTTCATCGATCCTGGTTGTATTGTGCGGTGCAAAACTTCTTATAGTTCTGAAAGTTGGGTCTGGGTGAAAAGTATAGTCCATAATATACCATTTCATGGTATTATGCAATGAATAAGATAATGATGCAGCAGCATGTGTGCAAGTTTAATCAGTTGCCGTCTTTCTGTATTTTTAGAAGACTAATATGTCACAGTAGGTTACGGTGGTATTTATGTAAACTATTGCAGGATAAAAACGATTTTGAGCTATCAACCTTACCATCTCTTGTTCCAGTCCTGGATATGGCTGCGGGTGAGACATTACTGCTACTCGTGAAGCACGCCGAGCTTATTATCAACAAGGTAACAAAAGTAGCTGTGCTAGCTTGCCATGTATGTGTACTATAACTGTTATACACTTGATTTTATCTATTTGAGAAATAAGTTTAGCGAATAAATCTTTTCGTTTTCTCAGCGGGCTGGAACATTCTAGTATCTTTTTTACGATTCACCTCTTCCTACATTGCCCCTCTTTCCAACTGTTGAGGTCTTTGTAATTATGATGTTTTCTGAATAATTATTATTCCTATTACTAGTAGTGATGAGGTTTCATAATAAAGTTCACGCGTTTACGTATTTGTGTTAGTGGGGCATTGTAAACCATGATGTGACACTGCTTTTCGTTTGCTTGGACTTGAGTATCAAAGAGGCCAAAGAGACAATTTTGTTGCTGTGTGCAATAACTTGGAAAGTGTTGTTCTTTTGTGATTTGGATAGCATAGGTTTCTACTTTTGAGAAAAGGTCAATTGAAGGCTTATGGTTTATGGCGTGGGGGGATTAAGAGAAACTCAAAGTCTGAACAAAGTTCTAGTTGCTGGAATTTAAAGACAGAAGAAAAATACAACTAACAGCTCCCTCTTATTTCGAATGAACTCGAATCATGAGTCATTTTTTGCAATCCCAGAGAAGTCCAATGAAATCAAATCTTCACGACCACATGAGATCATTTTAATTTTTGTCTACTTTGATCTCTTCTAAGTTTTAAATTTGTATCATGGGGCTTCATTGCTCTCGTGAACTAGAGTTGCAAGTCTAAATGGGATGAGACACTAACCACTTAGGTAGTCCTTTGCTTAATTTATCCTCAACTAGTTCTACCTACACTTATTAGTGTATATCCATGTTTTTTAGTTTATCAATTCCAGTATGACCACCTGTCCATCTTATCATCTTAAGTTTTGCTACTTTAATTTTATGAAATTTTGTCCTTTAGCAGCCAAAAACTCGGTGTATAAAGCATACCTGGTCTGATAACTGCATGTGTTACTTACATTCTAACTTGTAGGTATCCTTTCGATTAGATTCATTTTATGTTAACGTGAACCTTGCAATCTGCATTTATAGCGTCATTTGCTTTCTCTTGTGACAGACTAGTCAGGAGCACCTAATTTCTCATGTCCTGCCTATGCTCGCTCGAGCTTATGATGAAACCGATGCACGCTTGCAAGAGGAAGTTCTAAAAAAGACTGTTTCGCTTGCAAAGAAACTTGATGTTCAGGTGATCTCAAGCTGCTTCTTATTGGTGGTTCTTAAAAATGTGGAGTCGGTGAGACAGATCATATTATGTTCTTTACCTCTAGATGAGTAGTAGGTTCAGTCTTGATTTTTTGAGAATGTTGAAGAAACACCCAATTTTCTAATTGAGAATGTTGAAAAACCCAATTTTCTAAAAAATGTTAGATAAAGATAAACATACGAGGCATAAGGCTTTCACAAATAAAACTTGGAAGGGGGAAGTGGGTAGAAGATGTAGGATACGATTGAATTAAAATATCTGATCAGTTAACAGGTCTAGGCTTATGTGAGATTGGTCAGTAATTGGCTTTGAGGCACAGGACCAATAACCAAATAGTAGAAGATATAAATTACGTATAATCAATGATCCTTCTCTACGCGCTGTCTCTGGATTGGAATTCACCCAGCATCCTCAATATCGGAAATTCCAATTCTTTCTATGAAATGAGTTCAACATTTCTCCTGAAATTTCTTAAAATGACCTGACAAATTTTGTGCTATTCATTCCATCTTCCTGACACGACATTACGATATACATGCCAAATCATCCATCGTATTTAACTTTATATTTCGGAGTATTTGATTGCATTGGTCTACAGGTTGTAGTCTCTACAAGTTTTCAGCAAAGTCGTTTTTGTTAAATGTATCTTATCAGCAATCTTCACTTTCATATATCAATTCTCGGCCTTGATAATATTGGTCAAGTGTGCTGTGTATTATTTTGGTTTATTACTAAATTGCACATTTTTCTGTGTAACCTTTCCTGCAGTTAGTGAAACAAGCAATTTTGCCTCGTGTTCATGGCTTGGCGCTTAAAACAACCGTTGCTGCGGTATGTTTTCCTTGCTTCGTGTATTGACTTTGTTTTGACTGCCCATCTCTCGTGCTACAGTTACTTGAAACAAGAGTAACTTTAGGAAGTTATATGTTATTTCTATTAAACTTATGTTCATTTTTATGAGAGACGACCATGTTAACTCAAAACAACTTTTTCCCTTATTCCTTTTTATTTGTTTCCTTTTCATAAAACTGGGTACACCCTTGGAGTGAATTAGTCAGTCTAAACTCTAAAGTCGAGGCTTTGCTTTTGTTGGCAGGTGAGAGTGAATGCTTTATTATGTTTAGGTGATATGATTCACATGCTGGATAAGCACGGTGTTGTAGACATCTTGCAAACGATTCAACGATGTACTGCTGTTGATCATTCTGCTCCAACTCTTATGTGTACGCTTGGAGTCGCGAACTCAATTTTGAAGCGGGTACAAAATGTTTTAATGCTACTCTGTCGACTGTATGAACATTTTTTTATCGATTCTGCCCCACTGTTCTTATTTAATTTTTTCTTTCTTTGCAGTATGGAATTGAATTTGTAGCAGAGCAAGTTCTTCCAATACTGACTCCACTATTAATTACCCAGCAATTAAATGTTCAGCAGTTTGCTAAGTACATGTTTTTTGTCAAGGATGTACTGAGGTAACACTGAAAGCTCTCTCTCTCTCTCTCTCTACACATATTTGGATCCTAATTCCATATGTTATCGATTATTGACTTATTGTGTAAGAGGCTCAATGTGTATGTGCATTTATGCTGTGCTGAGTAATATTATTGAGTCCTTTGCAGGAAGATAGAAGAAAAGCGAGGAGTAACTTTGACGGACTCTGGAATTCCAGAGACAAGACAATCTCCTACAGCGGATGGGCCTCTTCCGGGACTAGTTAACAAACCTGTTGCAATCTCGTCTAGTACGAAACACAACCCATCATGGGACGAAGATTGGATACCTGCCCGGGGAGCTTCAACCGCCGCCCCGTCTTCCACTACAATGTCAAATGCTCGATCAGTCTTTCCAAGTCAGCCAGCTCAAGCCCCCTCATATTCTCAGTCCTCTTTGATATTGACTTCAGCCTCTCAACAACTGCCATCTTCGTGTCCCGCAGTTGATATTGAGTGGCCTCCTCAATCTTCATCAGGCTTTACAACTCAATTAGGTGACCCTGGGAAGCTCAATGAAAACAGAGGTTCTTCAAATGCAAGTTTTGATGCTATTGATCCTTTTGCCAACTGGCCACCTCGGCCTATTGGCACGACAACACTATCTGGATCTTCGACCAATGAGATGGCAGCACCATTTGCTACAAAATATCCTCCTAGTAATAGTGCAACCTCGACTGATGGTTTGAACTCATGGGCATTTGGCAATCAAAATTCTGTTGAGCCCATGAGACAGAATCATGGTAGTAGTACTTCATCAACTGTCGGAGGGCTCAACACGCAGAATTCGCTTGGGTATTTGAAGCAAAATCATGGTGCTTCAACTCTTGGTTCGTCCAGCCAGAAAGCAGCGGATCTTGGATCTATCTTTGCTTCTAACAAGAGTGAGCATGCTGCACCAAGACTCGCTCCGCCTCCAACAACTGCTGTTGGTAGAGGTAGAGGACGAGGGAGGGGGGGAAGTCAAGGACAACTTGGGACCACCTCTGGATCACGGCCTAGTCAGGGGAAATCTCAGCCTGAGCAGCCGCCTCTACTGGACTTGCTGTAGCTTTTATAGCGACAATGAGTATCATTGTCTCATGAATTAAGTACTAAGGTAAAGTACAGATCAAAACTTGAGTAGCTCAAACGACTCTATGTGGTCCATCGCAATTATTTGCAGTGAATAAGAGAAACATGTTGATACATTCAGTGCCAAATTTGAGCTGTTGGCCTGTTGTAGCATAGTTTGTGATTCTGCATGTCGTAGAGTGTGGCTGCTTGTACTCTTTTCCGACAAATTTTTGTTCTCTTCTGTTTTCTTAATGATTTAATTCATTTGATATATTGTTTGTCAAGGAAGTTCATTGTATTCTTCGTCCACGGGTTTAAGAAATGGTAATACTAGCTAACATTTAAGAATTTTTCTATTTGCCTCTCTCAAATTATGCTCTGCTTGGTTTAGATAAAAATAATTTTGATAAAAATTGATGTGATGTGTTATTGAGAAGTTATGAGTCTCGTGAAATTGTTGACTTTTTCATGATGATTATAATTAATTCGTGACTGAGATTTATATTTTAATATAAATTTTAAGCTAAACCAAACAAGGGTTATATATTTGAAGCAAGTAATTCATAGAGTCTTGCTTCACACAACCACACGTAATTTTTTACTTTTTAGCAATTTTTTGTAGAAATGGCCTTTGCTCGTCCGTTTCAACTAAAAAAAATTGATTAAAATTAAAATTAAATTTAACAATTAATATTAATTATACGTTTCATGAGATCCACAATTTTTTAACCATACATTTTAACAATTTTTATTAAAATTTATTAAAAATCTGATTTTTCAAAATATACTTATGTCCTTGTGTTATTTTAAAAAACACTTCCTCATAGTTGAAAATGAATTTAATAGAAAGATTAAAATAATTCGAAGTGATATAGGTCGAGAATACAAATCATTTGATTTTAATATGTTCAATATTCCTTAAGAATAAACCATGAATATACACGACCATACACACATGCTTCTAGGTGCGGTAGAAAGGATAAAAATAGAACTTTAGTTAACGTTACGAATTCTATGTTAATAGATTCAAGTGCATGCTCAAATTTTTTGATGGACGTATTTTTAACTACTAGTGCTAAATAGAGTTCCAAACAAGAAAAAGTATACACCTTTTGAGGCGTGGAAAGCGAATATGCCAAATTTGGGATATCTTTGGGTGTCGGGATGCTTAGCCTTTTTTGAGGTTAAGGGATCCTAAAATACCTAAATAGAGAGCTAGAGTCACCATTTTGTGATTTTCTTCAATATGTAACGATAGTACAACTTACAAATGTTTAAACATTGAAAGCAATGTGATTTTTAGGTCTTGGTATCGAGGGCGTCGGTCCGAATATTTTAATACCAAAAACTACCCATTATTCTTTGGGTATTTCATAAATGGAATGTAAATACTGGAACCAAACTCAAACCTGAACCGTCGATTCCGGTTCTACTAGAACATTTTTTACATACATTTAATAAACATTTTCATATAAACCCTTTTAGTACACATAACTTGCTACTACTTGAAAATATTTTTACAGTGAAGAAAATTCAGCTAATAAATTTTCAAGAAGCAAAATAGTGTATACTAAAATGTAAAAACCACGAAAATAAAAGAAAATTAAAATATCAATACTAAGTTACAATTTGAGAATAAATTATTTTTCTTAATAAATCTTATTCGATGGGCATACTAGAGCATATAATTTAATTATGAACAACGTATAAATTCTTCTACTCTTAAATCAAATTGACATAAAAAAAAATACTAATTAGAACATTGTCCATATATTGAACTCGTTCTGTTTAAATAAAAAAAAAATTCAAAAGAGAACCGCAAACTCATGATAACAAAGAAGGAATATCACAACCCAAACAATTATGAGTTTATCAAATTCAATTGCCATGTAATATAAAAAAAGGAAAAATTGCAGTTGCGGTCCCTAACCTTTTCGTTTTTCGCAAATTTTACCTCAACCTTCTCTTTGTGTCATCACAGGTCTCAAATCTTTCAAAAATATGCAGTAGAGGTTCAAATGGATGAGAGCCGTTAGTTGACTAAATAAGTTGATTTTGACCAAAAATATTTAGTCTTGCCTTGAATCCAATCCAGAATCCGCCCTTGTATATGGATAATAGTTAGAGAACTAGAGTGAAGTGCAAGAGAAATGTAGCTTTCTTTTAAGCAATAACTAGGATAAAATATATTTCAAATTCTTATATAGAATTCAATGCATGCATGGGCCGTCATAATTGTTGCTCGTTCCCGCAATATAATTTTGTCTTGGAAATTATATTAATATATGTATTAGGATCAATAAAAAAATGCATTTATCTCTACGTGCATGTATGTGAAAGGGCCAGCCTTGATGGTGTGCATGTAGTGCAATCACACTGGACCCATTATTATAGGGTACCATCGATAAAATTGTTACATAATTACAGAAGATGTTATCCCATTAGAATGAGACTAGTCGAGGTGCCTAAAGAGGTACAATCGAGGCTCCCCAAATGGCTTGCCGAAGTGCCTAAAGTACTAATTGACGTGCCTAAAGAGGTACAAACCAAGGTCCATGTTGATTCCAAGGTCCATGCTGAGGCACTGCCTCAAAGACGAAGCTCTACAATTTTGAGCTGAACCACTACCTAAGAATACAAAGAAAGAAGCTGAGACTCTTCACTTACATGATCATCTCAAAAATCTCTCCGAGGCCCTCAACTCTTCCGAAGTTCACGAAGTCGAAGTCGACGCCATCTCTATTAATAGATTTGAAGATCTTTTAAAAGTGATTGATGTGACGTCTATAATAAAGTTTTGACTCTGTGTCAGTCTATTGTATAAAGCGGCTGACCCCTTATCAATGCATTAATTGCATGAATGGACAATGATGTGACGTCCTAACAAAGAAGATGAGGCCATGTCGTTCTGATCCAATGGTCACCACCTCGGCCAAGACAGCATAAATAAGCTCTCTTTGTAAAGAAAAATGGGGATCTTGGTAATCATACAATAAAACACAAAAATATACCTTCACTTTCGTGAAACGTAGAGAGATTGAAGATGATTTATACATATTGTTATTTACATATTTTACAAACAACAGCAGCAAATATATCAAGATTCCAACACAAAACACCATTTTATTATATCTATCATTCCACACATTTCACTATAAAAGAGAGTGAAATATTCTTGATTATCTTGGTTTTGATGATCGTTGATAGTGCGGTTGTCGTTAAATCTTATTGTCGGAGTCTGAACGTTTTCGTCTCTTGCTTAAAGTACATTCCGCGTCCATTTCCAACCAATTACCGCCTTTATTCCAGTAGAAACGAGACGGATCCACAATTGAAGTGGTAAGAGTGGGCCGGGCATCTGTTGGGCTCATTTTTTGGGGTCAACAGATTGACGACATCTGTAGAGATTTCTTACATTTAACCACGAAAAGTACATGTGGGAGAAAGCTAGCTTGGAATACTTTGGCAAAAAAAAAAGGTTTTAACCCTTGAAAAATGAGTGTCCTTGTAGTAAGGACCGTTAGATACCTCGAACCCTGAAAGGGAGAGGCCATTGAAGAAGTGGCTTTTAATAGGATGACCCCCTGAAAAGGAGAGGCCACTGAAGAAGCGGATGACTCACTGAAAGGGGAAGTCCACTGAAGAAGTGACTTTAAAGCGGATGACCCTTGAAAAGGAGAAGCCGTTGAAGTGGTTTTGAATAGGAAGACCCCTCGAAAGGGATACCTACAAAGAAGTCACATGTGATGAATTATGAGGCCTCATTCTCGAACCATGTGACATCGCCCCTACATAAATATTTCAGCTACTTTAAATGCAAGGGCCTTATCATTGCCTATGCTTCAGCATGCAAAGACCTCATTCCTAAAGAAAGAGGAACTATTTTGAAGACCTCATTCCTAAAGAAAGAGACTTCATCAACAAGTGCTTCATCCTTCAGCACTTCCGCACAAAGTGTCTCATCATTCAGCACTTCATCACCAAGTGCCTCATCTTTTAGCACTTCGGGACAAAGTGCCTCATCCTTCAGCACTTCTTCAACAAGTGTCTCATTCTTCAGCACTTCATGACAAAGCGCCCCATCCTTCAGCACCTCCGCACAAAGTGCCTCATCCTTCAGCACTCCGAGACAAAGTGCGTCATCCTTCAGCACTTCATCAACAAATGCCTTATCTTTCAGCACTTCATCAACAAGTGCATCATCCTTCAACACTTCAGCAAGCAAGGACCTCATCAAGTGCATCATCCTTCAATACTTCAGCAAGCAAGGACCCCATATTTGCCTATGCTTCAGCATTTGAGCATGCAAAGACCTCATTCCTTGAAAAGGAAGAGGAAATATCGTGAAAACCTCATTCCTAAAGGAAGAGGTATTATCTTGAAAACCTCTTCCCTTGAAAAAGGATGAGGCACATGAATACCTCATTCCTAAAGGAAGATACACTATTTTGAAGACGTCTTTCCTTGAAAAAGGAAGAGACGAACACTTGAAGACCTCTTTCCTTGTAAAGGAAAAGGCACTTGAAGATCTCTTTCCTTGAAAAATGAAGAGACGATCACTTAAAGACCTCTTCCCTTAAAAAAGGACGAGGCACTATCTTGAAGACCTCATTCCTAAAGGAAGGGCCCGAAGCTCTAAGAGAACATTTTATTATCTTAAACTCTAAGAGAGTATCTTATTATCCGAAACTCCAAGATAGCATTTTATTATATGAAGCTCTAAGAGAGCATCTTATTATCCTAATCTCTAAGAGAGCATTTTATTGTACAAAGCTCTAAGATAACATTTTATTATACGAAGATCTAAGAGAGCATCTTATTGTACGAAGCTCTAAGAGAGCATTTTATTATCCGAAACTCTAAGAGAGCATTTGATTATTTGAAGCTCTAAGAGAGCATCTTATTATCCAAAGCTCTAAGAGAGTCTCAGGTCATAAATATCAATTTCAACTAGAGTTTCAACAACCTTCCCAGAGGGTTTGCGCGAATTAGATA